GAGAGAGAGAGAGAGAGAGAGAGAGAGAGAGAGAGAGAGAGAGAGAGAGAGAACATGAATTTCCAGCAAGAGAAGAGAAATTCTGACACGGCAGATGAAAGGTCATCTAAAATAAATGTCTTTCTTCCACTTCAGGTTTTACCAAGGATCAGCCTTGAATGAAGGATGGAGTGAATGAAAGCAAAACAGTGTGGAGCCCCTTGCCCGTGGTGGGACCCCTGTTAGGGGAAGTTACAGCCTTCAGTGCCTGCGCCCAGCATTCTGAACCATTTCCAGGATGTTTTTCCACGGAGCACACTGCGGTATGTGAAGGCCAGAACTGCTGCTGCCGCTGAGGGAATGCTCAGGTGCAATCAGCAGAGGGTCTGATTTTGGTTAAAACCCTAATCGGGAGGTAGAGTTTTCTCCAAAGAGAGTGTACCATGCATCTTCCCCGGGTGTCATCAGCATTAAGAAGGATGATGAGGCTGTAGAGGACAGAAGATGCAGACACACAGAGGTCGGACCGTCAGTGGTTGAAGAGACCAAGCCCCCATTTAACAGCGGAGGTGGCAGCACGCATTTGGTGGAGCCCAGCCCTGCCCCAGGATTTGAAGACAGGTCCACTTTTCTCTAAAACCCACTCTGTCCATCACCCCTAACTTTATCTCAGAATCCGAGCTCTGGATTGCTTCTCTCTAGTTTACAGCCCCGGTTCATCCGAGGACCTGGTTTCCTTCCCTTCAGTCACCTTAACATTTCTCCTGGGAACCCTTGTCACTGTCACAGCTACTTAGAAAAAGGGGAAAGAAAGGCAACGAAACTGTTTTATTCTATTCTGAACAGAAACTCATGCTGCTTCCAGAAAACTAGAAGGCACAAGTGACAAGATAAAGGCGGAACCAAGCATGCTGTGATTCAGCTTGGAACCCTGCTTTTGTCTTGACATTTGGTCATCTTTATCGCCCAGGCCACGATCTTTTGACAAACGTGCTTTTCCGCGCCAGCGTCACTGTTAGGCGGTGGACAGAGCAACGTTTACCTAAACAAGCCCACTTGTTTTGGACATTCAGGTTGTTCCCAATGTTTCTTTCATAAATGGCAGCTCAATTTCCATCTCGAGGCATAAAGCGCTCTCCACATTTCAGATTATTCCTTTGGGCTACTTTGCCAGGGGTGGAATTACGGGGTCAACAGGTATGAGCATTTTAAAGGTTCTGGATATAGATTGCCAAATTTCTTCCCAAAGGGGTTACATCAATTTATATTCCCCAAAGCTCTCCACGCATTCTTCCTTCTCTCTCACCAGCCTGGAGTTTTGGTATACCAGCCTCTGCTCACTTCATCGATGAATGTACTAACTCATTGTTTTGATCTGAATTCCTTTTATTATTTGGGTGGTTGGTCCTTTCCTCAAATCCTGACAACTGTTGAAAGCTTCATGGCCACTAAAACCGGACATATCTTTAAGAAAGGGGTGCCCGGTTCAGAGGTTGCAATATCTCCAGGCAGGAGCCACAGTTTTCCTGGAAAGTGCAAACTTTGACAGCCTGCTGGGAGTTCTCTCCCTGCCCACTGGCCCTTGGGGTCCCCTCACCGGCCCTCGCCACCTTTCAACCACATGTGCATACTTAATGCCACCCCTGGAATGAGGACAGTTCATTCCAAAAGAATTCCTGTTGGCCTGTGTTTTTTAAACCAAAACCAAAACCAGAAAACAAAACAAACAAAACAACCAGCCCGGCCCAGCCCGGCTTCAGAGGGCACCCGTGGACCCGCAGCTCTGGACCACACCTAATTCCAAGGCAGTGGATGGAGACGAAGTGGGGAGGAAACGGGCTTGCGCTAGAGATCATTCAACTGGAGGCCTGTGATTTCGTTGTGAAATTCCCGGGGGAGCAGGACAAAGAGTGGGATGGGGGAGGAAGAAAAGGGACAGGGTAGAGAAGATATAAAAAGAAATAGAAAGTTGGAGGCTGAGAAACAGAAATTGAGACAGCGAGAAGAAATAGTGAGGCAGAAATGGGGGGGGGGAGGAAGCAAAAAAAAGAGAAACAGTGAGAAAAGTGTAGGGGGCGGGAAGAAGCAGGAGAGACTGCAAGATAAATTGGGAGAGAACAGAATGCGATGCGGATCCACGGCTCTAAAGTAAATGAAATGGGGGGGGGGAGAGAAACGGGGAGGCGTAGGAGAGTCAGGGGGCGCAGCGCCGGGTGTCCGGAAAGATGGAGAACAAGCGAGAAAGAGAAGAGCAGGGAATACACCCCAGAGTCGGGAGCCCACTGCAAGAGGGTAGCGCTGAGCCGAGGACACACCCAGCGCGCTGCGACCTCCGCCTACTCCGAACGAACGCAGGCGGCGGGTCGGGACGAAAGCGGGCGCTCGCCACGCCTGGGGCCTACGCGCCCTGCGCCCAGGGGATGCCAGGTGCGGGACAACGCGAGCGAGCGGCCCCAGACAAGGAAGGGGTTCCCCCAAAGTTTACAATAGAATCGCCCATCCCGCGCCCCAGCTCGTGCAAACTCACGCGTCTGGGCACCCCCTCGCCTCGCACCCCCTTGGACCCTCGCATCCTCTCCCGCGCGGGTGACGC